TTGTTATCTGATCTTTTCCAAGGGTACTTGCTACTAAAATATCTAAAATAATCTGGTTTTACTTGTACCACTCCCGACACATAAAGCTTACTGGGGGCTCATTGGCTAAGAGCATTGGCTGCCCTTCCAGAGGTCCTGAGTTCAATTCCTAGCATCTACATGGCAGCTCACAAATGTCTGTAACTCCAGTTCTAGGGGACCTGACACCTTCACACAGACATACATGCATGCAAAACACCAATGTACATAAAAATAAAATCTTAAAAACAAAACCAAAAGCATATTACTGGGATTGGCAAGATTACTTGGTGGTAAAGGTGCTTGAGTCCAAGCCTTATGGCCTTAGTTCAAACCCTGGACCCTACATTGTAGGAGGGGGAACTTCTACACATTGTCTTCTAACCTCCATAGCCCTTCTCAAACAAACAGACAGACAAGTAAATGACATTTAAAAATTTAAAACATGTTATTAAAATACCTTCAATATTTTGATACCTCAATTATTTTTTCAATCTGTCTAGTCTAAAGAAATCTAGCAAAAATCAAGTTACCGTTTAATTAAGGATATTGGAATAAAAAAAGGGGGGAGGAATTTCCTCAGGACATTCAAAATATGTTCCTAGGGTTTCAAACTATAGCCAGGAACCACAGGTGAGAGGCTGGTATAGGCTCCTCTGCCTATGAAGAGCGCTTCCCCATGGGCTGCCCAGCCTTCCCCCTTAGGGAACCACCACACAGGGCATCTTTTATTTACTAGGCCAGACTTTACTTTATTCTCTGCTGTTTCCCACTTTCCCCCTTTGTTTCACCCTGAGCTGATGCCAAATTAGTCTCTGGTGGTCTGTAATGACCGGACTACTTGCAAACATTAAGCCATTTCCAAAGCAATAAAACCAATTGCTTTTTTTTTTTTTTTTTTTTTTTACATTTGAAGGTGGATTTTTTTTCTATATTTCTTTTTGGCACAAACCATTCATTTCCAGAGGCCTTTTCTAATCAAATGCATGTTGTTCACAGTTTATTAGGTAGAGAGCATGGAATCACCTTCACAACCTTTTAAATTTGTATTGGATTCTAAACTCCCATGTCTTAGCTCTTGGGCATTTTCTTTGATAAAGCCCTCCTACTTTTCAGTCCAACAAAGACCAAAGACTTTGGGTATAACAAATGTTTAAGTAACCACTGAAGAAGAGGCTTCAATTGTGTGGGTCTAGCTGGCAATCTGTGGAAGGCCACAGGACTGGCTCAGAGATAACACTCTTGCCTTTCACCTTGCGGTCACCAGTTTGAATCAAGCAGAGATTAACAGTGTCCAAGGGTTGTTATCATCTGATGATGGCTTGGGAGCTGATATGAAATAAATTGCTAGTATCTTCTGTCTCCTTGCCTGAGGTCACCTGGTTCAGACTATTTTAGGACCAGATCCAAATATTGGCTGCAATGGTGACTCTAAATGGAAACCTCTGGAAAAAGGATCAAATGCTAAAGAAACTCAGAGATTATACTTCTTCTTACACTAATGGAAGATAGCCTTTCAGACAAGGCTGGCAGTGAGGGTAGGGGAAAACAGGTCAGGCGTGTAGATTAAGAATATCTGGCCCAGGAGTGTTTATCGCATCCTGTGTCCCCCATCTGGTTCTGAACCCCTCCGGTCCAACAGTGCAGCCACATCTTCTTCCTTTACCTTTGCTTTGTCCACTTTAACAATCATCAAGCTTTAAAGGAAATAAATTGTAACAGAGCTGGGCAGAGCAAAGCCTGACTCTAGTCCTAGTGTTTAAGCAGAGGCAAAAGACTCATAACAAGTTCAGGCCACCAAATCCTACGCCAGGCAAGGATACATGAAAAGACAGCATCTCAAGATGTCTTGGGGGTGGGGGGTATAAATCACAGAAATGAAAAATGTTTCAATAGAAACACTAGGGGACCAAGACATGGTTGTTAAGCTTAAAGAACAGACATGTAGGGAGATAGAGAGGAGAGACCATTAGAGATAACATACCAATTCCAACTTTTTTTTTTCTTCTTTGAGACAGGGTTTCTCTGTGCAGCCTGGCTGTCCTGGACCTCACTCTGGAGACTATGCCAGCCGCAAGCTCAGAGATTCACTTGACTCTGCCTCCCAAGTGCTAGGATTAAAATAAAGGTGTGCACCACCACTGTCCAGCAAATCTTCTAAATTTTTAATTATGGCCAAATAATTGTTTGGTTGTTTTGTTTAAACAGGCTTCATAGCCTAAATGAAAACATTGTACTTGTGTGTGTGTGTGTGTGTTATAGGAGATTGTACGTGTACCTGGAGCTTTTTATTTATTAAGCAAGTGTTCTGCCACTTTGTCACACCCCAGCCTTAAATTTTCTACTTTACATTTTATTTGGAAATACTACTTAAAAATACACTTGCTCATCCCTTTTTAATTTGAAGTTTATTATACATAAACAACTTTATGAACAACCATCCAAGTCAAACCCACCTGGTCCAACTTAGAAATACAGGGACTTCTGATAATATTTTGTTTAAAAATAAAACAAGCTTTTAGCTGGATAGTGGTGGTACATGCCTTTAATCTCAGGACTTGGGAGGCAGACACAGAGGTAGATCTCTGTGGGCTCATGACCAGCCTGATCTGGAGTGAGTTCCAGGACGGCTAGACATACACGGAGAAACCCTGTCTTGAAAAACCAAGATTAAAAAAGATAATAATAAAATAAATAAAAACAAGCTTTTAGGAGTTAAAGGTGGATTTGCCTTCCACAGGGCTGCCAGCTTGTCTTGAGGTTGCTGAGAAACTGTCTCTACCTCTAAGTTCACCGTTTGTCAACAACATACATGCACCACACAGAGGAGCAGCTGTTCTTTCTGGACGGTTACAGATCCTGTTGTAAGCTTGGTAAGTGTATCAAATGTAGGATACCCTCATCTGCTCCTTGGGTGTCTCTTATTAAAAGTCTATATTACTATTTTTTGTACAGCGTCATCTATGCACATAAAGGGAAGGGGAGGAGGGAGAACAAGGCTGTGTGCCCATTTGATTTATGTATTTATTCTAAGACAAGATTTTTCTTTTATATAGCCCTGATTGTCCTGGAACTCACTTTATAAACCAGGTTGGCTTTGAATACACAGAGATCTGCCTGCCTCTACCGAGTGCTGGGGTTAAAAGCACATACCCCCATGCCTGGCTTATGTGCCCATTTTAAATGTTCAGAAATCAGTTAGTGGTTTAATCAACTCAAACTGTAAGTGACTGAAAATGTGAATGATCCTTTATGCCAATCTCCAGCTGCTCCTCAGTCTCTGAGTTAGAGGAATCACTTTAAGACTAAATAAAATAATAAATCCATACATTTATTTAAAAGTGAGTAAGAATAGATGAGTGCTTCTGTACCTTCTAAAGCTTCAAGTGGTCAACTTAGACTAGAATTCATAATCAATCAATTTTATGAACCAGAAGGGCTGAACAATACATTTCAATTACAGACTTGAGTTAACTTAAATTTTCCCTTTCCAAAGATTATCTAATTTCATTCATTTATGACCTCCTCTTCCTCCTGCTCCTCCTCTTTCTCCTCCAGGAGGGGTACTCCTCCTGACAGTATGGGGACTTGAACCTAGGACTTTATGGATGCGAGACAAACGGTCTACCACCGAGTTGTAGCCGCAGGTGAAATATGAAACACACATACACCACACACATTACATTTTCCCCAAAATAACTGCCTCCCCTATTAAAATTTTCCTAACACTGAGCAATACATTTTATTGGAACTCTCGAACCAAAAAGAACTCAAAGGTGACCAAATGTGCTTGCTTTACTAGTAGGGAAGAAACGATCCTGGGTATGCACCAGTTGTTTAAATACTAACCAAAATTTGTTTTAGGCCAATTCGTTAAAGCAGCGGTCTAAAGGGGCCCTGGCACAGCTCAGATAGCTCCATACACCAGCTTGCTAAGCCTTCCGAGTTGTAAACTGAAGCCATCGCCCAGCGCCCTTAGGCCCTGGGTGCTGGGATGGAAGGACTTCTGTCAGGACGGGGACAGCATTGACTGCGGTCCCCAACCCTGAAACACTCGGTCTCAGGATGAAGGCCCAGCGCAGGTCTGAGCACAAAAGCCAAACCCAGCTCTGCTCCTGCATTGCTCACCGCAGGGAGCCGAGGGAGGAAGCCTGGCGTTCTTAGCCACCAGCCTGGGGTTGTCCTGCGATGTGCGAAGGGCCGGGCGCCCACGTGGGCAGGATGAGGGGGAGATCGCTGCCTCACCCCCGTCTCCACGGCCCTCTGATCTTTCCGATCCTTGGATCTCCTCGCCCCAAAAGGGCAGGGCGGCATCTTCAGACTCTGAGTCCCGAGCTTCTGCTCCCCCAGGTCAGCGCGACTGTCCGCCCCACAGGGAAGCTGGCGGCCGGACCACGTGCAGCAGCCAGGGGAGCTTAGGTCGCCGGAGAAATTTCGAGGCCTCTCCCCCGCCCCCCAGGTTGAGAAAGTCAAATTTTCAGTGTCCCGTGCAACTGGCCAGAGAGCTGCCTCTCAGCCACTAGAGTAATTCTCTCCTTCTTCAGATCAGGTCACTATTAGGGCCGCGGCTTGCAGGAAAGGGATGCCTCCAGGACAGTGCAAGTGTGCAGTTTGCAACCAGAGACATCCTATGGCTTTCTGCTCCATTTCCAGCGCTTGCTTCTTGAGTGAAAGGTGGGATGGAGGAAGGGAACTTGGTGCTTTTGCCAAGTAGTCCCCAGAAGCCGCGGAACCCACTCCTTCGAGCCTCTTCCAGCAGGGCTTTGGCGCTGTCAGCGGTGCGCGAAGTCGCCCCCACCTCCCCGTGGAGAGCCCTTGGAGGAAGGGAGTGGTCATTTGGGGGTTGGGCTTTAAGCTAGCCAAGGATATCTAGCCCGACATCCCCTGCCCAATATCTCCCCCTCCACCCCACCACCCGCAAGGGCCTCGAACTTCCAGAACCACCGTTTTTCAGGCAGAGCTCCATTAAGATCAAGGAAAGAGTGCTGACTTCGGCAGCACGTACGCTAAAATTGGAACTATTCAGAGAAGACTGGCTTGGCCTCTGTGCAAGGATAACGCGCAAATTCATGAAGTGTTTTTTTAAAAAATGAAGTCAAAAAAATAAAACAAAAACAAAGCATAAACCAGGGAAGGGGGGGATGGGGGGGAGAGACAGTGGCCACAACCCACCTCCTTACATCTGAAGTTGACCTTGTGCCCACAGCCCACAGTAAGGTTTTTCTCTTCCTCTTTTCAGAACTGTACTCACTTGTTCAGAGGTTAAATGATGAAGTCTCAGGCTTTTCTGGGAACAATGCCTTTTCTTAAGAGCATCACAAGTTAGAAAGAAAGAAAGAAAGAAAGAAAGAAAGAAAGAAAGAAAGAAAGAAAGAAAGAAAGAACGAAAGAGAGATTGATTTCGCTGTAAGCTGATAATCGGGTAGCTGTGGTCATACATCCATTCCCCAACCTCACTATTCAGAGTCCGTGTTATCACATAACGCCCATTAGGCACCAGTAATCCTCTATCAACACATTTTACAGACATTTGAATGTTAAGGAGATTGTTATTAATGGTCCATGATCCTAAAATGTAACTATTGGTTCTAGAAACATTTTAATAACCCCCAAGTTTTGATCAGCTGCTTGTAGTCCAAGGCTTCTAGAGATTAAGACTGAGACAGGGCCTGAAGGAGAATAGGACGGGTTGTCTCTAAGGACAGTCTTCATCTGAGAATGTGGGCATGAATGCCAGCAGTCGATATTTCCCAAGAAGTATTTGTTGGTTCCTTCATGCGCAGTCCAAGATGGGTGAGGGAAGAAACCAGAGACCAAATGGCTGCTGGACATAACCATCTTGTTTTTAAGGACGTCTCCAGGCTGGAAATGACCCCCAGGAATATCAAGTTGACTAAGGACTCCTCTATGTGAAGGACTCCTTCCCGTCCTTTCAAATGGACAAGACTGACACTAGGGATGGGGGTGGGGGAGGAGGGTGGGGATTCCATCTGATTCTGGAACATTCTTTTCCTCTTGGAACCAACTTGTGTCAATTCAGACCTTACCATTATGTTTGCTATGGGATTCTTTTTTAATTCGACTTATTTATTTGTTTTCTTCAAAATACTGTTTCAAGCTAAGAAGTGGAGGTGAAAGGGGAGGAGGTTAAGGAATAAAAGTCCTAGACCTCATGCTGTTTGACTTTCCCTCTAGGAGAAAAACAGATTTTGAAGTTACCCTTCCCTGATGTGGGTCTGGCTGCCCGGGCACCCACAGTCATCTTTGACCAAATGGATTGGACCTGGTAGGGCTCCTTTATTTGAATCTGTTTATTGTTTGTTTGCAATCAACAGCAGGTAGGTTTTTAAACGTGATGCTGGCGGGAGGGGAAGTCTGGCCGATTCTCTTTAGCATTTAGGAGGGACCTCCTTAGGTTGCATGAATGTTGCAGAGTAGAAGGCCTTTCAAATGCATTTCCTACTTCCTCCCCTCCAGCTACTTCCCCTATATACAAGTTGTTTGCTTCCGTTTCCTTCCAAATGTTTCTATTGGAAAAAACTACCTTTTCCAAATAATATATCCATATACATCCTGCTTTGGAGTATAAAACAATTAAAAAAAAAAACAGTTCAAGTCACAGGGCTATTATAAGCTTATAAGTAGTTAGAAAGAGATGCTCCAAGCAGTTCCACACAATGTATCTCAATACATTGGCGTACTACAGTTTCACATGTAATGTGAAGTCTGTTTGAGACAAATCCTATAATCTGTGCAGTTGCACAAGCAATCCCCCCAAAATATCCGGGTAGCTCTTGTTAGGACTCTTCCTCTCCCTACTGGAGTAGATGGTCTTTGGTCTTTTATGCCCCATCAATCCAAAGGCGGAAATGCTGTTTCTGGAAGAATGAGGTTTATCAGAGGAACCTGAGAGGACAGGGTGAGGATTAGGAAAGAATAGCAGAGGTACTTAGAGCTTTGGTCGCAGATTTAAGTATGTATATGCTGTGATAAGGACGCACAAAGGAAGAAGGGTAACTGTCTTTCCTAATGGTTTCAAATTATAAAAATTAAAAACAAATTAAATCTAGGCACAGGTCACATACTTTCCCAGACTGTTTTCTGTTTCTTTTTGTATGGGATACGCCTGGCTTCTTTGTGTGCGTCTTTTGCATGACTAAAACACACCTCTGCACGCAATAGACACCACCTAACATTGACAGATGTGGTTTTGGGTAACAGCTTTGTCTTAATAACAATAGCGAGCTCCTCTCCAGACAGCGAAGTCGGGTTCGAACTTGTGGCTTTGGCCTGGTTGGTGGCTACTGATTAAATGGAGCCGGGTACTTGTGTGAGACCTCTGCACTGCAGGTAACTAAAACCGGACGTTTTGGGAACCTGGCGCTACCTAAGACACCGAAAGGAGCCGCTTTCCCATCCCAGAATTTGCTTCTCACCCTCTGGGCTGCCGCACCGAATCCCAAATCAAAACCAGCCTACGCTCATAGGGAAACGACACACAGAGGATTGGGAGAGTAAGGGGATGTACGAGGCGGAGTTTTCTCAATGAATTTTCTCAAGCTTCAGAATCAGTACCCAGCTCCTAGCAGAGGTCAGAGCTCGGTGAATTCACTAAGTAAGCACCTGGCTGTCCTTGAAAGTCCCCAAGGGCAAACACAGCGGGGCACCACAGCTCGAGCCGCCCCAGGAACCTGCAAGCTGAGTGACCCGCTTCCTCCAGGCTTCCGGGAGCATCTGTCCCCTCCCCAGCCTCCTGCAGCGCACACCCCCCAATCCCAACCTCCCAAACCCAGCTAAGCCAGTCGTCCCCAGTCTCCAAGTCGGCTTTCTCAGCTTTGGCTAGATTGACGCCGCTCGCCTGCCTCTGGCCGGTGCGAAGCTGGACGTTTATTTCCTGACTCGCCTTCCAAACCCCGAAATTGATTTAACACCTCAACTCCACTGTGTCTGAAGAGTCCCAAAGACACACACACTCCCGCCCTTTCCGACCAAGCTTGGGGGCTGCGGGCGTGGAAGTGGGCTTGGCTGTGACTCCTAGCTCTCTCCTAGTCTGGGAAATGGGTTTAAGGGACCTGGAGGGAGCCCCCACGAGAGTCACCAGGTTAGGCCAGGGACTTCATCTACGGCCGGCAGAAATTTGTGGCCCAGGAGCCGCCATCTGCACTCTTCGCCCCAACCCCTCCGATCCCCGGGCACAGCTAGGGTGATTTTCCTAGGAAACTACTGTTTGTCAACGGATTTAGAAAAGGTAGCCCTGAAGAGGGTCTCTGCAGCCTTCCGTGGGCTGCCTCCACCAACCCGGGCGACCGGCCTCTGCAGCTGTTCTTTCTCAATTTTCGACTGGAGGGGTGGGTGGGGCAGCGTTCAGACACAGAAGAGGTGAGATCAGAAAGAATAAGGCGTAGAGGAAAGTGACGGTTTTCTAAACATGGAAGTCCCCAAAGTCGGGATTTTATTGGCTTGGTTGAATTTCTCTTCTTTGTCTATAACCGGAACACTCCAAAGGTGAAATCCAAAGAGAAACGCATCAAATCTTTGTAAAGCCAGTCCCCGTGCCTCCCCTCTACACCCTCCCCACCCCCATAATTATATTGCTACCTTGCTTCCGGTTAAGTAGCTCTCACACTAATTTGGAGCCCAGTCATTTCAGTACGAAATATCAAGCAGAATGAGACTTACCAACTTGATTAAACTAAGTCTTGACTAGGAGCGGCCATCAGAATTCTGGATGTCTTTAAGCTAATGCTAGCTTCCCACCCCCTCCCCTTTGCCTTTGATCGTGCGGAATCCTTTCTACTTTGGGCCTCCATTCAAAGCGATTAACTGTGTGGTCTCAGTTAAACGAAGTTGTGTAAAAATGACAGGAAAAAAAATGGATTTAGAGACTTCATCTAACTTCATTTACAGATCCAGCAGAAACCAAGCCATTTGCTCAATAGTCCTAAATTTGCCAGATAGTCTTGCTTTTAAGGCGTTCCCCGTCCTTGCTAAAGTTTCCTGGAAACTAAAGGCAGTGTAAGAAATTGGTTATTCGGGAGGTCCTTTACTACTGAACCAAAACAAACAAACAAAAAACCCAACAACCTAGATCTAGGAAAACCTAAAGCCTCTGGGTTCCCAATGTCACTTCAGGGAAGAGTACAGACGAATATACATCTCCAGGTCCAGGATGATCTTAGCCATCCAGCTTGGCAGTCGGTGGTGGCAGTAGAGTTTTATTTAGCAGTAAAACAATTTTACTCATTAAGCCAAGATTAGATGGGATTCAAAAAACACAGCCAGGGATGGGAAATGAAATGAGCAGAAAACAAAATGGTTGCAACTGCTACCCTTCATTTGCAAGGTTACAATCAAGAGCCAGTGAATTTTGGTCAAATTTAAGAACACGAGAGGTTTAAGGTGAACTCAAGTTGGTTTTTACCAGAGGAGCACTATGGATCGTTGGCCATGTCCTTTCTAGTATCTCCTACAACCAGAGACTCTCCCCCTCCCCCAGAACACACACACAAGGCACGACGGTGGGTGCCTTATGTTCGACTACTGAAATGATAGGTTTTTAAAGTTCTCTGAAACTCTTTTGTTCAGGAATCATTTCTGCCTGGATTCCATCCGGATTCTGATTGTACTCCTTCCTCTCATCTTTACTTCAGCCTTTTTTTTTTTTTTAAGTAAAGGAAAAAAGATGCCCTTAGAGAACTGAAACAAGAAATTTAACATTCTTCTGAAATATTCCAGTCCACCACCACCCCCATACTTCGGAAAACAGAACAAAACACACCGATCCATCAAAAAACCATACTGACAAAGTACCTAGACATTGAATTCAAGCTTGTTAACGGCTGGCTGGGTGGAGCAACTTCCCGTTTGGAGCCATCCTGAGGGAAGCTTACAAATCACTGTCATTCACACCTACTTCATTCACAGGTCAGCAAGAGAAAAGGTAAAAACAGGAGTGAACTGACTGAATTTCTTCTCTGCCTTACAATAAACAGCACTGTGGGGCTGAACACAGGGCTTTTCCTTCAGAAGCAGTGGTATAAAATTAAACTAGAACCAACGTTGTGCTAGAACCATTTTAATATAACCATACATATCTGCCAAATCCAGGAAGGGGTTATGCATATATAACTTCCAGTTAACATCTGCAAGCGTAAATGACAATGATCTCAGTTTAAGATTCATCAGGGTCAGAGCAATTGACCAATGTCTTTTTTTTTTTTTTTTAACCGCCAGGCTTACCAAACATTAAATTACAGGTGAATTAGGGTCCTTTTGCTTCTTCTCAATCCTTGTCCAGAGACAGCAAGTGGAGCAGCTCACCTCCAGCCACAGGTAATCTTTCTAGATCAGTATTCAGTTGCTCTGAATTTGGCTTGTAATTATAAGCTATTTAATCACAGAAGAACCCCTGTAGAGGTGGAGTTCAAGATTGTATACAAGGACAGGAGATCACAGTTTTGAAGTCTAGCACAGATTAAAAACCACAGATGTACCATTTATATAAGACACACACTGATTGTCTCTTAAACTACATATTGACTCCGTATGAGCTTTATCTTTTTTTTTAAATAAAGTAGTGCATCTAGGACAATCAGTCGCACAGGTCACACAGCCCTGAAAAGTTTTTCAGTGCCAACTACCAGTTGGTCATGAAACGTGAATGAGCTTGGGACATTGTCCATTCCTAAGATTCAACCAAAGATTGGCTAAAACACTGAATCACCTCTGCTGTGAAGGCCATGACCTTCCTTCTCTCTCCTCACAACTCAGTTTTGTTTGATTTTTATTTTGAGTGGTGTTTGGTTGCGTGTCGCTAGAATATATTTGATCAATCATTTGCAAATCAGGAAACCAATGATCTAGAACTATAACAGAATCTTAAGTAGATTGGTTTGTCCATTTCAGATTGCTGGTTGATGGACCCTTCTAAGGCCCTTTCTTTTTCCTCTATGCCTCTCAGTAACTTTGATCAAGAGTCTGAGCATCGTCCCATCTAACTCTTTTAACCAATACCTGGCTAAAACTGGAATGTCCAGCCCAGCATATTTAAAAATCACCCACAAAAATAGTTTCTACAGGTCTTCACAAAACCTGGAATTTCCATGAGGATGTCTGATCTTTATAATCCAAGCAGTCAGCATTGAAGTTAAGCTTCCAAGAGGCAGTTTGGTCCTTATAATCCAAGCAATCAGTGGTTGAGTTAAAACCCAAGCTTGAAGCTCCATATCCCTGGGTGGAAAGAGAAGCTGGGGACTGATTGAGATGGCTGGTAACAGCATTGGTACCCATGGGACTGAGTGTGGCCCCTGGTCCAGGAAGCTGGTGATGCATAGGGGTCAAATAAGATCCACAGTCCATGCCCCCAAAGTAGGAAGTTGAGCCAGCATAGCCTTGACTATAACCTGAAGCCTGAGTATAGGTCATGGGATAGGACCTCTGCATGCAGGAGGAGGAGGTGGACAAGGGGTCAGACAGTGGGGAGATGGAAGCTGGGCTCCAAATAGACACTGGAGCACTGCTGCTGGCAATGGTTGGGACTGAGGTACTAGAGGGGGGAGTGAACTGGCCACTTGTTCCACTTTCTGAACTCACTTCCCGAGCTGGAGAGGTCTTCTTTTTGGCAGGTCTCACTTTATTCTGACCTCCGTTCTGTTGTTGCTGCTGCTGCTGGCGGCACTTAGCTCTTCGATTCTTAAACCATACCTTGAAAGAAAAAGAAACTTCTTTAACATGGGCACGACAACTCCAGAGCCGTCCCAGATTGCATGGCTAAATGATCAGACAATTTCCTTTGCTGCTTAGAGACTACTCATAAAACACTTTCACCTATATCTGTCCAATTGTGGGAAAAGTCCACTTTATCCATAATTCATAACAAAACAATGTAATCACTCTTAATTATAAACTAAAAATTTTCCACTTTGCTTTCCTATTTTGTTTCCTCTACACACACACACACACACACAGAGAGAGAGAGAGAGAGAGAGAGAGAGAGAGAGAGAGAGAGAGAGAGCTAGCTCACTGTATTTTGGGATGACTATGTCTTATGTCTTTTAGAGGGAAGTATTCTGTTGCTGCATGCCACCCAGAGCAGACTGAGTTCAAAGAGTTACATTGCACTGTCCGGGAAACAACAGCTAATATGGAGGTTGGTTCCACGACCTAACATTTTGTCTCTCCTAGACTCATGAAAGAAATCTCCAAGAAGACATGCTCCTGTGGAGAGGAGATCTGAGCCAGTGTCTGCTGAAAGCTTCTTTGTAGTGAATGAACTGACTTGTGTGGTTTCCGCTTTGAGCTCAAAGACAGACCTCAGTATCAGTCTCAAGTCTGTGCCTTCAGATTCTCACACAGCGTCCTCTGCGCTCTACACCAGCTCACCGACTTGTTAACTTAAAACTCAGCCTGGCACTCTAAAAATGATCTGCAGCAGTAGCCTTGTGCAGTCTCTGCCATGCAGGAGCTTATGATAGCAACTACTGAGATTTGTGCTATCTATAGGTCCTGCCTCTTCATAGCTCTGGCTGCCCTGGAACGCTGTAGATCAGGCTAGCCTAGAACTCAGATATCCGCCTGCCTCTGACTCCCTAGTGCTGGGATAAAAAACACCACACCCACCCATTGGCTACAGGTCCTTGATTACCTGTTGAAGGAGTTCTCCATTTGGGTCTTATAAGTGTGGCAAAAGTAGAACCCCCAAGGCCAGCCTAAGCAACATTAAATATCCGGAGCCAGTTTGTTTCTAGTGAAGGCTTTGAGTCAAGACTTACAAGTGCTAAATTTTTTTCCAACTCACTTTGAAAAATCCTGTTTTCTGCTTTGTAGTTCACACTGATGTCTGGCACTTTCAAAACCATGTCATACCCAAAGGAAGTGTCACGTGTGGGCGTGTCGGGGAAGTGGGGGGGAGGGAAATGAGCAACCAAGCACCAAAGAGTTCCATATAGGGCTGCTCTCCAGTCAAGAGGGAGACTTTCTTTCTCCCTTTCAGAATCAAATATGGGGATAACTAGAGTAAGAAATGTGAGTATCTTTACAGATTCTGTGAATAGTCTGTTAAATGGCAGAGCTAGAAAACAGCTCTGTCCTCCAGAAGTCAACCCCCCACACACTTTCATTTTGTCCTACTTATTTGGTAAGAGCATCTTTTCTGTTCTGTCACCAAATTAGGTATGGCCTTGATAAAGTCACCTACTCTGTTTCTTCTTGTGTGTTTGTGTGTTTGTTTGTTTATTTAATTTGGACTATCCAGGAACTAAGCTCCATGCCCCTGTTCCCTCCCGCAAAGTCCACCAAGAAGATTGCCATACAAGGACCACATGACTACCTTTGAAATCTGCCCTCCCCTGTATCTTCAACTTCAGGGACTCCTGAGACCTACAGGTTCTAGGACTTTCTGATTGCTGTTGAAGTGCTACTCCAACCTTGCAACCCAGGCCGGAAGACCCTGCTTCATATGATTAGGGAGGGACAGGAAGCAAAAGGGTAGTAGTAAAGGACAAACAGTCCAATGGCTCCTGAGGGCTTAGAATTTCAAACCCTTCATAGGTCTGGGACAAGGGTCTCAGGCCCTATTGGGTCGTCAGAATAAACCAAGATTGAAGGTGGGTAAGGTCAAGAAAACGGTCAAGAAAACCAGAGTGTCTACATCTGCCCTACCTGCACCCTGGACTCTGGCAAGTTGATTTTCAGCGCCACCTCCTCCCGCATGAAGATGTCTGGGTACCGGGTCTTGGCAAACAGAGCTTCCAGAACGTCGAGTTGTGCCCTTGTGAATGTAGTCCTCTCCCGCCGCTGTTTCCGGGGGGTGGCTGCAGGACAAGAAGCCCAGGGCCCTTTAGGGTGGGGGAGCAGTTTCTCAGTCACAGGACTTTTGCCTCGGTCCTCAGACTCCCCAACCTCCCTCCTGCCACCCCTTCCAGAGCCTCACAGGACACACGCCCTCCCACTACAGCGCCGTCCCCCACCCCCATCCCGCCGCCCCCGGACGACAGCTACAAATCACTTGGAGAGCTAACAAAATAAAACAAGGAGCCACAATTCCCACCCCCACGCCCAGTTCTGGAAACAAACAAGCAAAAAACAACCGCCAGACCGCACTAGAAAGGGCTGTCTAGTAAAGTTAAAGGCTCTGCAAGGACCAGAGGTTCAGAATGACGCAGAGAACGCGGGGCCAGTTCCCACGGTATTTTAACACCGCAGGGACCTTTGTTCTTTTATCTTTAAAACGGGACATAGTTCATACTTTTATGAGTACTTGGTTGGGGGGAGGGAGGAATCTGACAGAAAAGAAAATTGCCTGGCACCTGGAGGGAAGCCACACCTCTGAGGATTAAAGGGACCGGGCATCGACGTACCGGAAGCCCCTGGAAGCCCCTGACAAGGGAAAACTTGTAAGGGACAGTAGGGGAGAGAATTCGGCTATTCCCAGAGAAGTAATAGCTAGGAATTGGGCGTGGAGACGTACGCAAGAGCAAGCTCAAGTGACAAGGTCAACAACCTTCCACGACCTAGCCCAATGAATGTCGCCAAGCCACTCGAATTAAGAATGGAGCGGTGTGATTCTCTGTTACTACTGCAGACCCCAGATTCGCCTCTTCCCAGCCTCTTGTTCCCTCCTGGGTCAGTAAACGCTCAGTGGCACTCGGCAGTTTTGTGGCAAGGAAAACACATTGGGAACCCCGCCTTGAGCTTGAGTGAGGACAGCGCGCCCCGCAACCTCGGAGCTCCTGAGGGACGAGCGTGGAGAAGAGCGTCGAGAATGCCGCGGGACTCACTTACCCGGGTAGCCCACGGAGGGATGCAGCAGGTCCATACCCGAAGTGGTCAGACTCAGCCCATTGACTGCGTAAGGCGGTTGCTTTAGATAAGACATCATGCTAAGGTTGTTTGGAGGCGCAAAGTCGGCCCAAATTGGGGGGACCCAGCCGGACGGTCTCGATTCGCCTGGAGTGGACAGGGTCAGGGTCCTTGGTGGGTGGATTTGGAGTGACGGAACTAAGGGCAAAGCAAACAAACAAACAGAAAATGCTGGTTTACTGCTTCGGAGGGAGCAGCTTCCTCCACGTTCCAGCACTAACTAAAAAGAACCCGGGAGACGCTGGGCACAGGCTTTTAAAGGAGTTGCAGATGCACACACACACACACACACACACACACACCCCGCGCGGTCCCCCCACCCCCCAGCAGCTCCAAAACTAGAGGGGATGGAGTGAGACCAGATAAACCTGTCTTCCCCACCCCCACCCTAAACTTTAAGAAAAAAGAAAGAAAGAAAACCGACCCGAGGAAAGCAATTACAATCTGCCTTCCCCAAGAACAAAACCCCACGCCTCCAAATGCACGCACTACATTCCTATCCCAACATTTGCATAGGACTCATTGGCTGGCACTAGCTAATTGTCTCAAACAAACCTTGATTGGGGCCATTTGCAGAGACAAAGAACTCTTTGGCTAAATAAATAATGCTGATAACAAAGCCCATTGGTGAGAAACAAAGAAACAATTCAAGAAATCTACCTCTTTCCAGACTGTGGCCTTTCCCTGGCAGAGGTTTTAATTATCTTAGCTGGTTTTTTTTTTTTTAAATATTATTACCACTTTCAACTGCTGTGAACCTAAAATGTAAACGCATTCAACATTTAAAACACCAACTTGCTGAACAACAAACTTGTGAAAACTGCCCAATCACTATTATCCCATATTTGAAGTCATTTCCAGTAATCATTTTCACCTAATTAGTAGTCTGGATAATTAGATTTCAAAGTAAGTAACAGATTTATTAGGGTTTTGGAGGACCTTGATTGTATGTGTCTAAAGAACTATAAACTAAACAAACAAGTATTTAACTTTTTAAGCGACACCCATCAAATATTTAATTTAAACATACTGGAAAAAAAAGTCTTCAAGACTTTCCAGAAATGCTGAAGTTGGAATCCTAACCGAAGTAAAGTCTGATAAACTGCAGCCCCCACGTTTTGCAAGTCCTGAGGGGTGCATTCCTACAGCAAGCTGCTCCCATGGTTTTGATGTAAGGAGGCTGCAGATCCTGTGGGAGGCAAATTCTCTTGGATTTTGGATTCTCAGGGGCTGCAATGGGAGCTGCTTTTCTCACAGTTTAAGGTTTGAAGTTGATAAACACCCAAAGCTATGGAACAGGATCTCTCCCTACCTTTCAAATTTCCTACAATTTTGTAAGATAAAGAGCTGGGTGGGGAGAGCAAAAGAAAAGTTATCTGTGTTCCTTGACTGAATCCCCTCCCCCAGATCGATGTTAATACAGGCAGGCAATCTGCAAGGCTGGCTTTTATTTTCCCAAAATAAGGCACTTTAAGATCTCTGCTTTGAAACTTTGACACTCTGGGAAACTTCCTCAAAATGGCGGATACAAGACCGAGTTCTCTGTCATCTTCATAGTGAAAGTTTATTAATGAAAAATTAAGACTTTAAGTTTTCATATTTACCTTGCTTAAGAGACAAAGGCAAAAGCTTCACAAACAGAACTCAACAACTGTGACCTCTTCCTGATTTAACTCAGAACACAAGTCTTAATTTCCCACCCTAAAATATGATTTTTAAAAATGTCCTCTTTAGAGAACTATATTATTAACTAGTAAAACTAGTTGCTTTTGTGAAGAACACTATATATTCTGTATTCCTCCAAGATCTAGCTATTTGGAGCTGTGAAAGGAACATTCTTTAAAAACACAGTCATTTCTTATTTAAATACCATCTAAAGAAGAGTTCTTTGAAAATACACTCTTCTCATTTCTTTGGACAGTTCTAAACTGTTATATAGGTTGTTAAGATGGTTAAGTGTATTTATTTGCTAGTCTAGCTCTCCCCAATTAGAACACCTAAACCCGTCATTCAACAAAAGCAGCATATTCTACGATAAAAAGCAGTAACAGAAAGTTCCTGGCAAGGTCCTTCTTGAAGGGTCAAAATGGCTCAAAATGTCAGGGAAAACTATTTTCACTTTTCCTCTTGGAGGTGCGGGAGGGAAAAAAAAAAAAAGAGGAAAACTCAAATCCAAACCACGGTTACTGCTCCACAGCGAGCTTAGCTAATAAATACGGCTAGATAATAAAGACGGCTGCGGGCCCTTCCACCTAACTTTCAGTCTGCTAAGGATTCCATTCTAGCTTCCTCTCTATGCACAGTGCAAAGCGGGATGGGGGTGGGGAACTCCCTTTCTAAGACATAAGGGTTAATATGACCGCTCTCGAGGCGGGATAGCTTCTGAGAGCTCATACCTAGGAGCGAATGGCTTAGCGTGGCGAGTTCCCGAGTGCCCTCTCCTCCAGGCGCAAGCGACTGGGTCCGGCGTCCCTGCCCTGCAGCCCCGCAGATCAGCAGCCCTGATGCCCGAGGTCCCTCTCCACTGCCTGCGCCGGCCTGCACAGCCTTATATCTAACGGTCAATTCGTGCAATCTGTCGCTTCCCCCTCCAGCCCCCCCCCCCTTGGTGTTTTTTTTTCTTCCAAGAAGCCCATCTACCAGTTGCTGTGTCCTCGCTCAATAATAATTACCTCGTCCGAGAATTAATTATAATAAATGTTTTCTTGATAAACTAACGAGATAATCCGAGGGGCACACGTCCCTTAATTACAGGCCGTCGTGCTCAGCTCTGCTTCTCGTCCTGGCTGATTAATTTTCTGCATGATAGAAAGGAAACAAAACTTCGCGGACTGGCGACTTGGCCTGAGGCAGGGAAGAGGAGAGAGAGCCGGAGGGAAGGAAGAAAGAGGTACGCGGGCTTTTGGAAAACAGCGGGCGCCAGCCTCTGCCCGGCCAACTCGAGTGAAAGTTTCTGGCCTCGGGGAATCAACATCTTCACCACCCGCGAGGGAGGGAGAAAGAAATGTGCCAAAGGGTTGCTCTTGACTTTTAATGATAGTTCGGAGAAGCCCCGGTGTTAGGTCTGGAAGGAGGAGAAGCCTGGGTATCTACCTTGCTCTAGAGGAGGAGTTTGCCCTTAGCTCTACTATAGTGCTAATAACTTTCGGTGACCTGAAAAAGTCCCGAGGTGAACAGGCGAAATTCTGACCCCCAAAGCTCTGGGACGGGGGACACAGTTTCAAGGGAAGAGCAACTCCTCTCCGGGTCCCCACCCCAAGTGGTCCACGCGGCTGGGCTTTCTTTCTCTCTCCACACACCCTTCTCCCTCCAAAGGACGAAATTGGCTCAGGGCTCTAAGGTTTTTAGATTTTCCAGTGAAATCGGACTCTGGCTTTCACTAGTCCCTTGAACACATCAACACCGCCACTTCTTTGGAGTTGGCCGCGCGACCCGTCGTCCAGGCCGGGTGTCAGCAGGGACCTTCCAATAGTTCGTTTTGGGGACAGGCCGAGAGCAGGGGCTGGGCCTCGGAGAGCCCCTCCGTAAGAGGCTGGCCTTGACCCACGATACTTCATTGTCCCCAAGCCAGAAAAGGCAGTACAGAAGAGCTCAACGGGCCACGACGCTACCTCAGACACAGAACAACTGAGGATCCGAAGTCCTTCCTAGGGAGGGATTCCGGGCTCTGACCGGGAGCATCCAGGCGCTCACCCACACTTCTGGCCTCCCCAGGTGCGCGCGGAGGCTGCGGCGCGCGTGCCCTGAACCACACAAGGCAGAGTCGCCTTTAAAACCTGTCTAACTAGCGGCCTCGGCCTGGTAATCTGGCCCAGGAGCCCCGACCTCAGTGTGCAGTGCCTGGGCTGGGGGAACTGCACCCCTAGGGATGGGAAGGAGAGGAGTTGTAAAAGATTGAAGAGCCCTAGAAGCTTTGAGAAGAAGCAGAGAGCAAAGCCGCACTAGGCTTAGGAGAGAGGACGAAAAATAGGAGATCGGGCGGCGCGGGAGTAACAAGACGCCAGCGTTGCCGCCTCCTCGGTTATCCACTCGGGTTTCGGCTCCCGTTGCAAACTGAGGAGTCTGGAGGCAGCCCGCGGCCCCCGCCGATGATGGAGGAGCCGGCCTTCCGGAGCGTCCACCTTATTATCATTGTCTTAATTTACCAACCTAGGTACATTACACAAGCATCATTTTGTCATGGACTCTTAAAAACGTCCTTGGAACCAAGCCTAAGGACTCTAGAGAAATCTAGGGGCCAAAATGCAAAGCTCGCGAGCAGAAGCCGTGAATAGCGTGGGCATCAGAACAAAACCCCTCCCCAACTCCCAGATTAGACTCGTAGGATTTCTACGACGTTCTACAGTAGCAGCGACCCCCAGGAGCACGCGCTCTCGCTCCCTCCCACTCCCTCCCTCTTCGTCCATTTTTCCTAATGGTGGTTATTTAGTCTCAAAATTCTCATTAGAGAAATAAAATACATCACCCCCACCCCGGAGCAAGTTCCACGTCCGCAGAGTTGCACATTGGAGGTGCGGAGGTCACTGCGGACTGGGGGAACACAAAGATATCGCTATAGACAAGACAGACGGACACTTACCTTACAACCGCATTGGACGTTAGAAAAGAAAAAAAAAATCAAATTATCCTTCAAAATTCCAAATAGCCAGCTATCCTAAAAGAAATCAAGAGCATTCAGTTAAAAACCTTGTAGTCTTCCACCTTTCCATACAAAGTCAAACATAACCAAGAAAAAAAATTAAAAGAAAACATAAAATGAAGTGGCCCGAGTTGTAAACAGGCGTGTGTCCGTCTACGATACATACAAAGTGGATGTGGCGACTGGGCTCCTCTAGCGATTTTTATTTTTAATAACAGTGGAGGCAGAGTTGGAGCTGAGGAAGGTTCCGCTCTCAGGGAGATTTGCTGAGAAAGCGCCTCTCTGGCAACTTTTTGACGCAAACTCTCCAACCAATGGCAGGGAGAGAATGATTGACACATCTAAGCCAGAGGGAAAATAATAAAAACACACAACAGGGGGAGGAAAACAGGCCGCTGCTGCACGGGGGGAAGAGCAGGCAACAAATCCAGGCCTCCGACACTACCAGAACGTTCTTTAAAACACTGGGCTGCGCTTAAAATATACATTATGGGCCTGAGCATGTGAACTAATTGTATAATTAAAATGATGGACAGGAAGGCCTCCCTCTTCGGTCTTTTCTTCTTCCTTTATACCCATTTCTTACTCTCCTTTTTTTGTTTTTATTTTAGAGAAAGGACACCAAACAACGTAAGGCAGGAAAATATTTAAGTCAATACTAGGGGAAGGAGGGAGGGGGTAGTACCCGGTTTTCAATCCCAACACTAGCAAAGAATGTGTGGGTCAGAGGCAGAACTCAAACCCAGGCTCACGCTTAAAAACAGGGCTGTCCTCTTAAAGAGAACCAGACAGCACTGAGGGAAAAAAAGGGTGAAGGCGTACGAAGCCAGCACTGAGATGTGAACATGCAGTGTAGACAGAGCTAGATTCACAAGGCTATGAACTATCTAAAAACCTCGGCGTCCTCGCTGTTCTTCAAACCCTGGTCTTGGAGCTCTGAATTTCCGGGAACGATTTTTTCAATTTGATAAACCCAGAACAATATGCAAAAGAAAACGTGAACTCCCAAGTCTATCCCCAGGGCAGATTTCGGGCCAAGAGAAGGGATACCTCAAATCTCTCGCGCTTGAGTGTGAGGTGACAAAAAGCCCCCAGTAGAAACAGTTTCTGCCTAAGAACAAATTCCTGGTGCTGCAGGGCCTGGGAGTTACCAGGGTTGGAGTCGCCCTAGCCTGAGGCTGAAACTCAGGAGCTGGGATGCATCAGGACCAACCAACTCAACTCCTTCAGGTCCAGATCCGGGCCCCGACTGTTTTCACAAAGATCAGAGTTTTCTAGAAGAGCAGAAACTCATTGGACAGAGTATTAGGGGACGAGGGTGGGGTGGGGTGGGGGAAACAAATGCTACTGCTGAGTGTGTGAATGGAGGATAGGGTGGGGAGAGGACAGCTTTCCCCTCACAACTCCCAATGCAGAAGAAAACAAAACGAAGAAACCCACCACCCCCCCACTACCTCAATCACCGCCACCACTGCTAGTGGGCCCAAAGAAACAGCTCGTTGCCTTTAATTTGGGGACCTATGTTAATGAAGTTGGTAATTAATTCGTCGCTTTGTTGTCGGTTCTTATACTGTATGTGTAATCAAATGTGGCCGTCCTTGGGATTTACAGCAATTAGCGAATTACGGGAGTGCGCACGAGGCTGCAAGTTCTCGGCAGCCCGGCTGGGCTCGGCTCCGGCTCGGCCTTAGGCTGGGCACTCCGCTGCCGCAGCAGAATTGCAGGTGTGTCCTAAGAGTGTTGGGTCCAGGAGGCTCCACAAACCCTAGAGCGCCTCGTGCTTGCCCAGCTCTTCCTGGCTCCTCCGTAGCTGCTCGAGTCCGAAGAAACTCCTGGCTGTCGCGTTCCCTGGAGCCACGACTTTGTGGGGCCTAGGCTTGGGGGGAGGGTGAGTACGGATCTTTCCTTGTTACCCCGCCCCCACTGTGCAGAAACACCTGGCGACTGTCCCCAAGCCCTTTCATTTAGGAGAGGTAAACAAATGTCCCAGGCAGTTGTTCCGCGTGGCCCGAGCTGTGGGAAGCAGGTCCTGGCTTTTAGTCCGAGCCTTCGTGCTTTGTATGATGGAAGGGCAAATCCACGCGAATCTCTTAAAAAAAAAAGAGGTTATTTCCCACCCCGAGAAAAAGAGTTCTCCCCAGTTTGATCATAATGATGTTGAAAGCATCAAAGAGCGAAAAGGAAAAAAAAATGACCATTGTGGATGTAGTGGAGCAAGGCCTTGGAGACAGTGGAGGTGGGGTGCGGTAAAGAAATAGAGTGAGGGCTTACTCGAAGTAAGTGAAAAAAATCAGAGAGAAAGCGATCCATCTGTAGTAGGGTCCAGAAACGTTAGAAACCGCTTGAGTCCCAGGTAAAGGTTTGGGATGTCGTCCTGAGACGACCCAGAGCAGCCAAACCTCCCAGAAAATTCCGGAGTGCTATAGACAGTGGAGGATTTCTGTTAGATGCAGCGTGGGAGGGCTTTCCCCTTTAGCGGCTGTCAGCACACAGCCCCCCGCTTCTCCTTTGCCCTCTAGTCTAATAACTTCTCAGAAATACAGGGCCAATAAACCACCAGTTGGAAATGGACAGTGTTAAATAAACAAGGGTCTCTTTAAAATTCTCATCCACTTCAGATGTCTAAAGTAAGATCGTGATGATTTTGTCACGGTTTGGTAAATTTACCCCTTTAAGAGGCTTTTCATAAATCCCAGAACACACCTTCAGCCAGATTTGAATATAGATTTAGGTTTTAAAACCCAGAAGCTGGAAACACCGCTTTATCAAAGAGAATTTCCCTTTAGCTTAGCAATGTGCTGCAGCTCTCAAAAGATTGGATCTGAAAGAGAGAGAGAGAGAGAGAGAGAGACGGAGGAGAAAGAGAGTCAGAGACAGAAATGTAGACAAGGGAGGGAAAGGAAAAAAGACTTTTCTTTTTTTGTTTCTAGAGGAATTCTGCCCAGACTCTCCAGCAGTTGGTAGCAGGCAAGCTTTCTCCTGTGTCGCCTGGAAAAGTTGCAAAATTGCTCTTCACCTGTAAGAACATGCTTTTTTATCTTCCAGTCTCTTCTTGTCAATTTGGAAATTGCAGACGGCCCGGCTCAGGTACCGTTTCCACAAACCCTATTCTAGGTCAGGACAAAAGCCACTGGCTTTGGGGGAGGGGGGTGGAGAGGGTGGGCTGCTTCACAGAAAACCTTAGAAGCTTGCTGGGAGAAAAAGACTCCTTGGATGGAAACATCTCTTGATTTTCAGTAAGTTCTTGAGCCTCCAATATACTTCCTATCCATTCATTGTATTTCCTTTATCCAGAGTTTAACTTTTCTCCCATTTAAAAAACCAAAAACGTTTCCTATGAATCTGACTTAAGAGAGAATGGTTTGTGTTTTTCAACAATTCTTATTAAGTAGTGGGTGGGTTTTAATTGCCGCGTGTACAGTTTCTTTGCTAGGCTGATGAGATATGAAGACTCAGAAGCTAAGTGAAAAGTAGCCGCGTACGGGCACCAAGTTATTTGTCAAGGCTTGTATGTGGTTCCACATGATGGCTGATACTCATGTTTTGAAGTCTGGATTTATATATATCACTAACTGGGCTGATTTTTCTCCATTCAGAATACCAAGCTATCTTAAAATATTCCAAAGTTTCCTCCAAGTTTATTAACTATGGGAGCGGGTGGGGGGAGGGGAGAACCATCTCTGGAGTCTTTCAGGCTAATTAAAAAAAGAAAACCCATATCCCACAAGAGCACAGTGGGAGGGGGGTAGTTAGACTCCCTGGACACTAACTTCCGAAATATGAAGATTAATTTCAAATCTTTTCAGTAATTCAGTGGACAGTGTGGGGGAAGGGGGTGACCGCATTTTGCATAAGAATTATCACCTATTAAAAAGAAGTAATTCTCCACTAGTTTTTAAAGAAATGACTTTATTTTGTAACTTGCCAAGCTTAATTCTGATAATTTCTTAACAAGATTTAAGGAAGTGTGGGCAGGGTTGGGGGTGTAAAGAGCAGACCTCTTATGAATTAAGCGTGGGTCACTCTGTCCCTGTATTTCAGTTGCTTCAGAAGAGAGGGTGAAGGAAAAAGATATCACTTCAAAGATAGGATCGTGCTGTCTTGATAAAAGAGCAGGAGGCAAATTCCAAATTGAAAAAAAAAAAAAAAAGGGAAAAGAGTAGCATGTTGTTCCGGAATGAACCGGATTAAGACTGTGCGACAAGTGGGAGATGTGGGCTCTGAGACATTTATGAGCTGAGTGTGAGCTTGGGCTTCAACCTATTGGACTGTCCCTGTCCTAGGGAGTGTGAAGACCAAGGGTGGGGTGTGTGCAGGGCAGGGTTAGGGTGAGGGAGAATAAAGGCTTGTGTGAGTGTGGGAGATTGTGTGTGTGTGTGTGTGTGTGTGTGGTGTTTGAGAGAGAGAGAGAGGGAGAGAGAGAGAGGGAGGGAGGGAGGGAGAGAGAGAGAAAGAGAGAGAGAGAGAGAGAGATTTGGATAGATTGATAGAGGATGGTAGCAGTCAGTTTACATAATTTTCTGCTGGTCTTAACGTTTCCTTGAAATCAATTCTACTGCAGGCAGCAGCCTTGAGCTATAGAGCTGATGCAAAACAACCATTACACTCCAATATCTTGCCTGTTTGCAAACTTCATTTAAAACCGGGGGAAGAAAAGACCCAGGAATGGTTTTGTAAGAAAGGAGGGGGAAAAAAAGAAGAAAAAGAAAGGAAAACCACAGTAAAGCTTTAAACTAGTTTGGATAAAACTCTAATCTTTTATTTGTAACCTTTTACAAAGCTTTATTTCCCCGCATATGAAAAGCTTCTTTCATACAGGCATGGCAGACTTTTTCTTTGGATTTTTAATTAGAGCCCATCAATTGTAGCCATATTTAAGAATCAATATAAAGTAATCCTTCGAGATGGGATAAGGTTTTAATCGAAAATCTAATTTCCCACTCTTTGCAGATCATTTTAAGGAGCTAGTTGATTAAAAAAAAAGAAGAAGAAGAAGAAGTTCAATATTTAAAAGGTATAACACCCAAATCTAGAAAAGATCATGTATGCAAGAAACCACTGGTGCTGTCTTAAAAAGGAAAACCCTGCTGCTATCAGGAACTTCCTTCTACTTCGAAGAATTTGGCATATTTTTCCCCCGCAAATGCTATTCTCAGTGTGGCTCCTATCAGAGTTTTCATATTGGATGAGGGAGTTATCTGAAACACAAGCCAAAAAAAAAAAAAAATCCTTAATTTTAAAAATCAACCACATAGTTCTTGATAG